TATTTATTTATTTATTTATTTATTTATTTATTTATTTATTTATTTATTTAGAATAAAACGGCTTTCCATAGATTATTAGCACTGGATATACAGTGATATAAGTGACCAGGAGAAGAAAATAAAAAAAGTATTGCAGTGCAAATGGAGATTGGCGTATCTAAAAATATGCCATTGATCYCATGGGAAGGTGTCGTATTTTTAGAAGAAATGTGTTTTTCTAGTGGTTTGATGTGCATCATCGGCTCAAAACTTCCAAACAAACGCAGGACAGAACTGGACCCAGTAATAGTTTCGCAGCACTTTGATGAATGTTTATGGGAAAACATGTCGCAAATAATTTTGAACAAAATTTACCATAAAAATTTGACACTTTTCTGCTTTGAAACTCGTTTTTCTCCCGACCAGTTCTCCCATCCCTCACAATCCCGCTCTTCTCTCTGCCCTCACTCCTTATTTGTCCTCCACCTGCTGCTTAATTGCTCTTGTTTTCTCTTCCCACCCTCCGCTCAATCCCTCACTTCCTCCATCCTCAGCCTCTCCCCTCCACCCCACCTGCCCTTCTCGTTTCCCTGACCCCTCCTCTTCCTCTCCTGCCGTCCCTCCGAGGAGGACGTGCTCCTCCAGAGGCGACGCCGACCTGCGCCTCGTATTGATTACTTTGATTGTGACGCTCATCCCTGCCTTTCTATGCCTCTCCCGCTGTTTGTCATCCTGAAGCAAATGGTTGCGATTTAGGGCTTAAACATAAATGGAAAAGTGAAGATGGTGAAGGAAAAGACAACAGTTACGCCACTGTTCTATCCTCCTGCAAGAAAACGGACAAAAGAGAGACAAAAAGAGGAGATTGGAGCAACACAACTGCATGACGATGAATGAAAATGATTTTTATAAAAGCCAAAAATCTAGCAAGTGTCAAACAAATGGGACTGACATGAAGAGAAGTTTTGTTTTTAAAGTAAAAGCATCTTATTGAAATTTTTCAAAAATCTTCCTTGTGTTTTGTTTTTTACTGCGGCCAGTTCTGTAAATTGGTGATAATTTGATCTGTGAACTTCACAAATGTTTTAGTTATTTATTTATTCATTTTTTGGGGGGTTTTGTGAAATGAAAGAGCTCAAACAAAGCTTCAAAAACAACAGTGTAGTCTGTTACTGTCAATTAAAGTTCACCTTTTTAACTTTAGATGTTTCAACTTAGCTGTTCGTGCTTAATGTTCTGGCTCCCAAATTTTCACCTTCTTGCATCAACTTTTAGATACAAAAACTAAATAAATAAATCTAATCTGTCCACTCATATTTACCTGTTTTTTCATGTAGAATGGAGCTGATGCCTATTTATCAACTATTAGCTTGAAGTGTTGGTGAGGAAACCAAACTGAAAACTATTGCTCTTTGAAATAGAGATTGGTTTATAGTTTATGTTGGGAATAACTTTAGAAGGCTGCAGCTCTACAAAACTACTGATGTTTTGAATAATAAATTAAACTTTTCGTGGCCTATTTTTCAGTTTTAGGCATTAGAGAAACAAAACACTAAAACAAGAATTTTTTTCATTAGTTAAATCACACCTTTATCTAAACTAGATGACCCCCGCACGTATGCAAAACACCAATGCACCAGAACTCACCAGAACAGATCTTTTTGTTTGGGGTGGAGATCCGGAGAGGGTGCTCGTTGGTGGGCCCGATGGATTGCCCTTCGAGCTAACAAATAAASAAATCTGAAGCTCCTATGTTGAATTATTTCTGAGTTATAAGCATTTTTGTATGTCCAGACACCCCCTTTTCAGGTGGAGCCCCCTCCTAATATATGGGGTCTATCAGTGGACACGTTTACATTCCTGACAAATTTCATGTTCATGTTGATTGGTAGTTTCTGTGCTACGGTTGACCAAAGATCACTGAAAAAAAATACAGTACGGAAACAATAATTAAGATTTTAACAAAAGGACAACAGTAAAAAAAAAGTGCCATGTTTGTGAAAGCATTGCTTTAGATTTTGAGTTGTGCTTAGTTTTTGTAGTATCTAAGCCTATCAGGTGTCCCTGTTTTCAGCTCCACACTCACCTGACGTTCATCTGCAATCAGCACACCTGTTCTCACTTAGTAATCACCCTGGTTTTACTGAGCTCTTCTTGTTTTGTCACCTGCCAGTTTGATTAGGTTTTGCTTGTGAACCTGCCTTCTGTCTGCCTGCATTTTGGTCCATTTACCCATCATCACACGTTAAACAGAAAAGGCTAGAAGAATAAAACTCATGATTAAAGGATACTTCCACTCGACGATGCTGATGCAGGCCCTTCGGATGGGGTTCTTGAGTGTGAGACAGAGCAGGGCCCGTGGCGGCCTCGTGGCTGTCGTCGTGGTTTGCTTCTTGGGTTTGGTAGTGTAGTGCTGTCTCTTCCTCTGCGTGGAGCTGGCCGTGGAAATGGGCCCGCCCCCTCCCACCCCGAGCCCCGCCCCTCCGCCCGACGCGGCGTTGCCCATCATCTTGGCTTGCCTCGCCGCGTCGATGGCCGCCTGCCAGCTCAGGGCCGCGCCCGGCGTGGGGATGTGCTCTGGGGCGAGGCCAACCACGCCCACCCCGTGGTTGGCCCCTCCCCCTCCTCCTCCGCTGTGGTCGCCGTGGCTGCCGCCGGCCCTGTGCTCGTTTGCCAGGCCGGCCGGCGGGGGGCGGGGAAGAGGGGGAGGAGGAGAGTAGTCGGAGCCTGGAGAGGAGAAAAAGACAAGGTAGAAAATAAAAAGTTAGCCAATTGCTGATTTATTTTTCATGAAATCTATGAATCACTTCCTGGTTAAGTAACATTAAATACATCCTGCATGGTTTCATCAAGTGTTTCAGTTTTCTGGTTTGGTAATTTAAGCCCAAATGTTCCAACCGTTAGCATATAAACTAATGAATCTTGCATTTTTGCCTCTTTAATAAAGTTTCTATCCCTTCATGAGCCCACCAAAGCATATTCAGACCTGAGAAGACATTGCAAGGATAAGGACAATACTAAAATAGAAAAAAAATAGAAGCAATGAACAGCAAAAATTATAGTAATCTGTGAGAGATTATACAGTTTCACCCAAACAAACAGAGGGAATAAAAGTAGTCAAGAGAGGATAATCCATACAGCATGCTTAGCCAGATTACAGACAGTTTTATCCTCTCAGACTCGTTTCTGTCTGACATCTGAGCCCGGATACTACAAATACTCACACCCTGCAACAGATTATGCACCAAAAATGCCATTTTAGTTACTACTTTGTGTTGTAAATGCTAACACAAAACCTAATATAGAAGCATAGAAACTTGTTGTAACACTTTAAGCAACATTATTGTGTGAACTCCGGTTTACTAAATGTTCCTTTAAAATCGTTGAGCAATGGATTTTATGGATTGCATGTTGTATTAATCCTGGATTTGCTTTATTTTATACACCGTTTCATTTCTGCTAAGAAAACAATGACTTGGATAAGCTTTAGTATATATTGTTTTATTACAGTGAGTTTAGGGAAAAAAATGCCATGCCCTAAAGATATATTTAAATGATCACACTGAATAAACAACAGAACAAGATAGTGTATATCCAAAAATACAACTGTATTTTGAAAAAGGAAACGCAGAAGGTATTTATTTTAGGGTTTCCTGCAATTATGGGAAAATGACAAAGGATGAAGTAAAATGCAAGAGTGAGGAAAGTGAAGTGGAATGGACTCATCAGAAAAAATCATGGAATAAAATAGGAGGAAAAGCTAAATAAAACTGTAAAAACTGGACAACAAACAAAAAAATTGTGTCACCATCAATCCTTTAATACCATTTTTAATTTTATATACTGTTTTAGTGGTTCTCTGTGGTTATTTTCCCAGCCTGTTGCATCTGACATCAATCAGTCAGAACACTGAAACCATCTCATAACAATAAATGGATCTTAATAGTTGAAAAATGTGTGTAAATACCTCCAAAATGTGTTCAGTGGGTTTAAATTCAAATGAGTCTCCAATTTCCCACACATGTTCTGAGACAAAAACGAATAGCTTTCATAACAACAACGTGTGAGCTTCAGGAGCTGCAGTTCCGTTGCTGTTTTAATCTTACAATTTGACAAGTGGCATAGTAATGAGCTAATCAATGTTACTCATTTCACCTGCGAGTGCCTTTCTTGTTGAGGCAAATTGGCGTAAACTGTGTTATAATCAACTGTAACTGAGTTAAGAGAGTGAAAGCCATTGCTCGTGAAAATCACGACGGCACAAATCAAAGGCGGGGCAGCCAAAACATTATTTTTTTCCATCACAACTTTGCGCGTTAAACTGAAAAGACGGTCAGCGTTCACTGTAGCTGAACCCGGAGTGAACCTGAGCCCAGCTTCACTGAGAGCTGCTCTGCCGGCTGTAATGAGCTGTGATACAAGCTAAAGTCGGCGGAGTTGTTATCTGCTTAATGATAAAGACCTGAGACAGATGCTATCACTGCGACGCTAAGCTCCCCGCCTGAAAATGTCATTGCTACGACCACGCGGGCACACTCCTCCACATTCGGTCCTGCGTTGGTCAGCGGCGCGAGCGCGCTCCCACTGCAAATAATCACAGCATTAGCAGAACAAAGAGCCTGATGTTGCTCCGCTCCTTTAATTGCCTCAACCAGATAATGTACAAAAATGAGGACAAGCCCCCACCCACAAATATGTCTTCTACATCATCTCCTCAATGTACCCTTCATTGTTCACCAATCATCTTTCTTTTTTTACCTCTCGCCCTCCATCTGTGTTTTCTTCCCCTGCATTTATTCCAACATCTTTGCGGGTGGACAGTCAAGACATGATTATCAGTCAATTAACTGATCTTGACACCTGATCAGACACTAATTAAAGGGGGATGCACGCATGCCGACGCGCTGATATACTAATGAGGAGAGAGGAGCCTGGATGAGGTCTGGAAAACTCTACTTTCCAGTTCAGTGCAGTCCTCTGCCAGCCCAGCTAAACTGTCGTTTCTTATAAAAGGTGACCTCCTTCTGCTACTGTACCTCTTTCTCCTCCTCCTGCACTTCCACATCATCGTTCCAAAATAATTCATCCTCCCTTTCTCCCTCGAAATCTCCTCATTTGCTCTGTCCCGCACATTCTCCCTATTCATCCTTCCTTCTACCAAGCCTTTCCGTACCTCTTTATCTCCCTCGCTTTTCACCTTCTCTTACCCCTAATCCATACAGCTGTCACGCCCTTCATTGACTCCCCGGCAGCAGAGCGCTTCGGTTTTTTTCCTCCTCCTTCCATCAATCTACCCCTAAACATCTCTTCATCCTTCTGCTTCTTGTTCCTCCTTTCATCACGTCTCTCGTGTTTATTTTAAGTTGCCGTTTTTATTTTCTCCATTGCCATCAACCGTTGTTCCAAAATCCACCAGCACTTTGTTCACTGTCAGATGTCAGTGGTGGGCACCAGTCCGCTAAAGTGCAAATCCGCTAATTGTGGACGTAAATATTCCATTTGTGCTTCAGCGGTCTTACTGATGATTATAATTCCAAAGCAGGTTTGCGCTTTCTAAAATTAAAATGCAGTACCGCTATTAACTAATTATCTATCAGTCATTATCTTGAACAGTGGAAGATAAGTCTGTCAATGAATCACAACACACGTGATCTATCCAACAGCACCCCTACCAGATAAACACTTATTGGGAAGGTATACATCCTTGCTGACTGTTGCATTCGGTCACGGTTCTGATTTCCCACAATGCTTTGTGTCTTCTTACGTAGCAGGAAGGCAATAGCAAAAACAGTTAAAGTTTGTAATCCATACTAAAATTTTGTATGTATTGATTTATTTTGCTTTACAATCGGAGCTCATTTTAAAAAAAAAAATAAAGTTTAAACGCTGGAGCTCAATACTTGATGTAACTGGTCGAAGCAACGCGGTTAGAGACACAGAAATGATTTAAAGATGTTATGCTGATGAACACTGACATCTAGTGGTCAACTGGAGCACCTACATGGAAAACTTTAAAATCCGACCGTGCTCTTATTTTGAAGGGAAGATAGTTTCCTGGACTGCGTGCTTTTGTTTCCCATCACAAATCAAATCCGTCATGTACCCAGAATGCATCGCTTCAGTTTTCCAATAAACAGTTTAAATTTACTTTATTGATTCTTCTTTAATGAAAAATCTACAACAAACAAAAGAAAAAGACAAAGTAGCAGCCAAACTAGTAATCCTCAACAACTTTTTAAAGAAGCAGCCAAACTAGCAATCTTCAACAACTTTTTAAGTTTTACACCAGGAGCCAAAGGTCTGTTTCAGGAAATCACATCCCCAGCAATCGGCGGTTGTAGAATTAAGTTGTAAAAGAGTTCATACACCGCTAGTTGGTAGTGTTGTGCATATATTGTACATGAATTGTTACCGGCTAGTAAGTATCCAATTGAACTTGCGCTTTAAAATTAGCTTCCGCTAGTTATTCTATGGCATAAGTGCTTTTGAAGTTACGGACTAAATATTTTCATAAGCGCTGAAATTGCGGAACTAATTTTTGGATTAGCGCTGCCCACCACTGCTTTTCAAGTATGTTACAAATGTAACAAATAGTGGATAAAGAGATTTATAAGATACTTGTTTAAAATCCAAACGGGATTTTTTTTTTTTTGGATGTGCATAACTGTTGCGTTATGGGTTATTTTAAAATGGATAAAGTATCTTATTGGACCTTTGCAGCAACAAAGAGATATCATTTTAAAATGAACATTTTACTTTGTTCATTAATTGCACAAATGTAGTACAATTCTTTCTTGTTTGGTTGAGAAGCTTCAACCCCAAAATATATTCAATACAATAAAGTCAAATAGCAATAAATGATGGCTGATGAGTCAGCTGGTTTGATTGCATTGTTTGAATATAAAGCGTGAGTAAGCACACTAATCAGTCTGATTGGTTGGATTTGTCTGCTAACATTTAAGGAATAAAACAAGACAGGCCTAAAACATCTCCAGTGTCCAAATCTCCAACGTTACAAACAGCCAACTTTGACGTCAACAGGTTGTAAAACCTTTGACTGTGACATTCCCCCCCTCCAAGCTCCAGCATGTACAGCGTAAGCTATGATGGATGCACGAGTACGACTGAGTCATGATACATTGTCTACTTTAAGAACGTCAAACCCAGGAAATGTATTGTAATAGCTGATAAATGGTGGAAAATGAAGTCACTACTTTTTGATTTATGACAAGAGAGCGGTGCCAGCCAGCATCAGCATCCCTCCCAGAAACATACGGCTCATCCACAAGGAATGAATGCGGGGGTGAGGGATGTGAGAGGAGCTGATGGAGAGGAAGATAGGAAAGCAAGCGAGGAAGTCAAAGTGAGCGAGGAGGAGGAGGAAACAAGAGGGTGGGGTGGGGAGGAAGGGATAGGGGTAACATCTAGAAAAGGAAGAGGAGGAGACGCTGGAGGAGGAAAGCTTGTTCGAGCTGCACCTCCATGCAGAACTCACATGTACACAGTTTCAACCACACACACGGAGCAGGCAGCAGATATTAATAACTCCTTATTAATATTCATCTGCAGCAGAGAGATGTGAGCTTAGAGTAACCCAGATACAAACTGTCTATCTACAAGAGTCTGTATGTTGCAACGTATATCTAATGGTCTTGGCTCTTGTAGGTGACATCGAGCCTCGAGGACATCCTTACTCACAACTGCTGGGTGAACACTTCTAACAGCTT